GGGAGCCTTGCCAAGTTGTTTTCTGCAACCGCACCCCCCGCTTGGTGAGCCCCGTCTGGCTGGACTTCGACGGGAAGCCGCGCCCCTATCCCACCCTGAAACCGGGGACCGGCCGCCGGATGCACAGCTACCTGGGTGAGTGTTTTGGGGAAGGGGCGCTGCCGGCTTGGGCGCTTTGCGGTGGGCTTAACGGACACCGCGCGGTGCGGCGTGCGGTTTGTTATGCGGGTCGCCGCCTTTCCGCCGCCGGGGTTGCCGTAGCTTGCAAAAGGTTAACGTTGCAAAATGTTTGTTAGAGAAGTCCGTCAGTTCTCGGAGCATCCGAGAGGACGCTAAACCCGTAGAGGCCGTGTTGCAAGAAGCAGTTGGGTGATGCTGAAGTCGAGAGATCTGCACGGTTAGCCTTAAAGCAGGAAGGTCCGATTAAACTAGCTGACGCTGCGGTGACTTCAGGCTGCACGTAGAAGTGCTGGGTGAGGAAGCAACGTGCGGCTGATCCCCTTCGTTCCTTTCTTCCCCACCCTCCATGTTTAAAAATAGGCAATCTAATGTTTAGGCCGGATCCTTAGAAAGGCGGATTATATCCAGCCGGTGAAGCTTTCTACTGTGAATCGGCAAGAAACATTCTGGGATGCTCAGCCGTGAAAGACGTTGGCAGATTTAAGCACGTAGTAGAGAAAAGGGGTAGCTGCAGCAGAAGAGGCAGGTTTTAAGCAAAGGATACCGTTGCGCTTAAGGATGCAGAGGGAGGTGCTTGTGAGAAAGAGGGCTGAATTACCTGAAGGTGAAGAATTGGAGTGACAGCAAAAGAGTAGGCGTGAGTAGTGTTGTAATTCAGTCTATGGATTCTCCCACATTGCAGCTTTAACATACTTCTCTCTGTGCTGAAAAGCTTAGGAAAGTATGGTCTTCAGCTCTTGGAATGATTCTGAGCATGTCTTGACAGTAGTTTTTACAGCCCTGACTTGATGGACTTCCCATTTCATTACCCTTTCCACCTGTGCTGTGAAGAAAATGCCAATTACTTCCTTTTCCCTGGGTTGGTCTTTCAGTGGATGTAGTTTCCATTGATAAACCTTTTGTATGAACCCCTTCCCATAACTTCTACTCATGCTTAAGACCTTCTATTGGTGCATCTACTCATGGACTGGTGGAAAAAGTCCTCAGTTTTATCTTTCTATCACTTGGGCTAAAAGGAAGCTGGCAGGGCTCTTCTCAATTTCACCTTTTTTTTAAAATGTCCATCTTTCACTGGTCCACCAGTGAATTGCAAGCACACCTGTTGGAGCCAAGAGATTTGCCTACAACCAAATGAAGCACAGCAGGCAGACTGCACAGCCCCACTTGCACTACCAGAAGTTGGGAAACAATACAGATGCAGAGTAAGAAAAGAGAGGCAGAAGCTGCCTTTGCAGTGGCCTGGGGGTAAATTGAGAATACCATGGCACATTTCTGACCCCAAGAAACAGGTAGTGGTTGTTCCTGCACCAGGACAAGCAAGAAAGCCCTATGAATCTATTTGCAAGGGACTAATTCTGGAAAATATTTTTATTATGAAAATGTATATGTATATCCTTACATTTCAATGCAAGTGTAAAATTTGCCAGGACTACTTGCAGCATCAAAAACAGTAAAAATAATAACTAAAACAGAAGTAACATGCAGTATTGATGACATTTTCATCAAAGATGGAAAGATCTAGGAAATTAAACAAAGAAATACTAATACAAACTAAACTTAGAGAAAGAAAATAGAATGGAAAGAAAGAATAGAAAGTGCAGGAAAAAAGAAAAGAATATAATAAAAAGAAAAGAAGTATGTAAAGTGACTTCCAACCTTCATCACAACAAGTATAAACAAATTTAATAACTCTTCACCCCATATAAACAGATATCTCTTCATCCCATCCCTTATCTATAAGCAAATGCATAAAACATCAACTTTTCAATCCTGCTGTCAGCAAAAGTCCGTAAAGGGTTGTCAGAACCTTGCAAAAAAAGTCTTATTTTACTCTTGATCAAATAAACTAACTTTATATTTCGTCCTTTTACTTCTAACAGACTTAATCTTTAATTCAATCAAATATTGTCATAGGATTTGATTTCAATTCTTCTTTATCCCATCGCACAGATTTCTTCAAGCCTCTTTAGTAGATCCAATAAAAAAACATTTTCCAGGTCATTCTATTTGTTTATCATTTGTATTTCCCTTTTAATATTTAAAACTTCAGCCAGTTTCTTTTGTATATCCAGTAAAGCGTACTTTTCCAAATCATTCTTTTGGACTGTCATTTGTAGGTCCACATTCTGTACTTTCTCTATCTTGCTAGATAAAATTTGTTTCACATCTCTCATTCCTTCATTAACATCTTTTAGACATAGTCTGTCCATAGAAGTAGACATCATTACTGACAGTATTGATAGTGAAGTAACTAACTTCTGGCTCCATTCTTCAAAAATCTTCTTTAATCTTTTGATGTTACAATGTTTTATGCCATTTTGTAAATCCCAGTATTAACTGATATCAGGCATGTATTTTTTTTTCCACTTAAAATCTTTAGTCCCCTCTAGTGTCCAGTTTCTAAAATCATCATTTATCTTTTGTCATGACTTGCAATAACTAGGATAGCCAAAATAAGTCTGTTTCCCACAAGAAGTTATTTTTTACAGTTAATTCCAAAATCTTATAGTAAAAGTCAATATTCCAAATTTATCC